ATCAATGTGGCTCTCACCTAGGGAGTAGATTTCAGCCAGCTCCTGGTCCCCGGTATGCTGGGGGCCTCACCTCGGTCAGAGTCGGGGCTCACTGTTGGCTCCTCATCTTTACCGTTTTCCAGGCCAGCCAATAGAACAGGCCTCTGTCCCCAGCTCACAACCTGATTGGAGAAGGGACAAAAGGAGGCAGGAAGCTCCAGCCAATAGACAGGAAAGAAGCTAAAAGACCAGCCAATCATCGCTTTCTTACACAAGGGCGGCAGGTGATATGCACCCAAGAGAGGAGGGGAGGAGCTCAGTGGACGGCTGCCCAAGGACAGAGGTGAAACCGTGCCCCTCCAAATCACACACATCATACTGTCACACCCACCCAGGTCATGCCCATCTGTCAATTTGAAGATGCCCGGATTTTGGTGTTGCACTCGGGGTGATTAGGGTGTGCCCAGGCACACCTGGCACACCCCAGACACATGCCTATCATTGCTGTTCTTATTTTGAGAGTGGGAATGGCTTTTTCATACATCTGCCCACAGAGAGAAGCTGTTGTAACATGTGTACAGAAAGAAAAGAAGACTGAAAAACATTCCACAAATCCAGAAAATGAAGAAAAGACGGGTTGTATTTATAAAATAAAATTGCTTAGCTTCTTTGTTCAGCAAAACTGCAGCTACATTTACATAAGCTATGGAAATGACTTTATAAATAGACCCTAAAATGTTGAAAGCTTGCTAGATTTCAATGAAGTAGACTGGTGAGAGAGGTGTATAGCTTTATATAAATGATCACACTCCCTCTTGTACATCCAGCTTAATGCCGGCCATAGAACTACATTGTCTATCCAATATATGGCAGATATGTTAGTGACATAACAATACAACATATAGCACCTTGTACTGATCTCATCTCTATTCATTCTCGCTTTAACAGGCACCGGACCAGATCTATGAGGGAATAACGTTTGATGACTTTCTAAAGGTAAAAGTGTACATGTTTCACTTCAGAGTGTAATAACTTGTCATGAGAGAATGGAAGCTATCACCCACATGGAAAAGAATGAGGAAGGGTTAGGACTTTTTTTATGGTTGTAATTACTCACATTTCTGTGGCAACCAAGACAAGAAGATAGAGTGCCTGCCTGCCTTTTTTTGGACACAACATTCAGAGCTCAGTAACTCTTTAATGGACATTGCGATGTGGACTTAAGATGCAGCAGGGTCATGCTTACATTATGATCAATGCAAATCAGGCTCTAAACTTCAGTTTGGACAACTTCATTGGATCCAAGCACATTACTTTTACTTTCATACTTAAAGTGGTACTTTGATGGGGCTTTGCATGGAAGACAATTATTACCCTACTTAAGAATGTATAAATTATACATGCTGCCTCAGTTTCTCTGCAATTTAAGTCTAGGAGAAGACATTTGCAATAAGGGGCGTGGCTGTTACTCAGCTCTGCCAGCACAGAACACTACATTGCTAGTGCAGGAAGCAACATTTTCACTGTGAGAAAAGGGATTAAGGAATTTCCACACAAACGTCAGCTGAACTCCAGCCTTACCTTTACTCTTACACAGTTGTACAGGATCCTTGCCGGCGCTAAAATTGCTTAGTCTGATTTCACTGCACACTGTGAGCGTCTCACATTGTGCATTAGAAGCTGCAGCAAGTCAGATAGAGCCCGACTCATTTCCTGGCTGCCCTTTCTTCCCCAGCCCTACTGTCCCAGGTCTGCTCCTTTCATTTACTGGATTCCAGTCAATCATGGAGGCTCAGCATCACATGTGGGCATTACCTAGGGTGGTCTTCATGCAAATTTAGCCTGCTTTCACCCTCCCACTCCCAGAGTGATATCCACCCATTAAGATATTTTCATATTTGCATAACTCCTCCCAACCGAGTACTGAAATAGGGTGCAGTGATATTTGCAGACAGCTATGTAAAGCATCCTGCCAGCCCTTCATACCAGCCATGGTCTGCCTGGATTGCATAGAGAAGCATAGTGACATGGTGATGACATCACCGGGTTTAAACTACGGTATGTAATGAAGATAGAAAAGATTTATTGAAAAATAGGACTTGTGGATGGTGGTTTCTCTCTGACTTCCTCGTAGCTGGTGTATCCTGGGTCAGGGGTGGGCAACTCTGGCCCTCCAGCTCTTGTGGAACTACAGGTCCCATGAGGCAGGAGACTGACAGCTATAGGTATGACTCCCAGTGACAGATGCATGATGGGGTATGTAGTTAAAGCACAGCTGGAGGGGCGGAGTTGCCCATGCCTGTCTTAGGTGGGCAGCCCTGAATTTTTACAGCTTTAAAGGAAACCTGTATTGACAATACGAAGGTTGCCATTATTGGCTACAACGGTTTTGGGTCCATACATACAAATCCAGATTTAGTGCTGGGCGTACCTTTGACAAAAGATTCCTAGAGCACACAGAAGCTCTCATTATGCGACACCCTGATCCATACTAGGAGAGGACGATCAGCTACAATAAAATGACAGATGATTTCTTCTAGACCACAGACCAACTGTATGGTGAAAAAACATTGCTCCATGCTACACGGCGCCTCATTGTTCATTTCTCGAGTCCGGATAAGCTCCTGAAACTATTACATATTTCTTCATGACTATTATTGAAGTATGTTTTATATTAACCCGGTTATAGAAATCATAGTGAAACGATTAGGTCATAATGAATATAATAATAAATGTCTTTTATTTGTAGATTTGGCAGAGCATTGCTATTGAAACGAAAATGCACGTCAGATTCCTGAATATGGACACGATCCCATCGTGCCACTGAAACTTGTATGATGTGGAAGACACTCAAACAAAGACATGGCTGGAGAGGAGAAAGTTCTATACAGCTAGTGACCCATACTTCCAGGGGTGAAGGCCTCTAAATGTGCAAGATAAACTTGCAAAGATTGAAGGGCAAATGGATCTCGCCATGAGGATGAAAAATATATTCCACCGACTTCTAATATAATCACATTAAGAAAGATGCGCCTTCACCCGGATATACGGCTTTGATACAATAAAAGAGGTGTGTTGTGGAAAGGAGGGAAGAAAGTCAAATGGAGATGAGGAGTTCTTCGATGAACTGAACTGTCATTCTGCTATGCAATTCTATTTCATACTTTTCTGTGGAATATGGGAATGAAGCTATATTAGCTCAGAGACTCTTAGGGGGTGATTTACTAACCTAAACACACGCACGCACCAGGTGCGTGTGATTTTCACATAGCAAAACGTATTTATCAACCAAAAAGTCTCTAAAAGCATATTTCCACTAATGCCATATATGGAAAAATCATGCACATGATGCATATATAATGCTGCTTCACAGTTTAGACAAAAATGGTTAGCTCATGCATTTACATTCCTGCATTCATCAACGCAAGCAACATAGAGTTAATTTACACAACATCACCTTGGAATTCCTTCAGGGCTTTGCGCAACACACCTGCTGGGTGTGTACACATTACAAAGGTGTTTAGATTCCTCCCATAGATCATGCTGGGAGGGAACACACTGCAGAGGTGTATACACGTTCGTGGTGTGTTTATAAGGTTAGTAAATCAACCCCTTAGTCTCGGTGGTTTTGCTATAATTAAAGGGTTTTGATGATTTAATTGATTTTGTTTATTGATAAGATCGATCAAAGAAATTAACGATTTGTTGACGGCACACCCGAAAATATCTCACGGCACACTAGTGTGCCGCGGCACAGTGGTTGAAAAACGCTGATATAATATACAAATAACACCCATAGTGGCATTAGATGAAGTGCTATAAACACCCAATGCCAGCAGCAGCTAAAAAGAAAAAGGGATGTACTGTGGGAAGTCAACAGACATTACTATTTTATCTGACTGGGCCGCAGGTATTGATGTGCCATGCATTTCTGTGCAGGCGATCGCATTGCGGCCAGAGGGCGTGGCAACGGTGCCATTGAGGTCAATGCACCACAACAAACTGAGCCGGCCACACTACGATCCAGTGCGTTCCAGCCGGGACACACTGGGTCTGGTGTGAATGGGCCCCAACTTTATTCTTCCCTGAGGCCCATCCTGCACGTTCCAACAACAAACAAACAAAAACACCTCATACTTGTTTCCCAAGAGTCTTCTGGCTGGCCTGATGATGTCATGGGTCCTTCCCCTCCAATGGTACGCAACAGCATTTATGTACTGAGGTGTAATGACTGTTTAGTGTAATTGTGTCCATGGCAGCTCAGAGACATTGGGTTACATTACACTGGTCATCACTCAGAGAAAGCAATCACTTGGGGGAACAGTGCCGGATTTAATATGAGTATTGCAGCAAAAGCTCTTTTTTTATTGTTAATAATGCTGGTCTCTCTATTTGTGCTTCTTTGTTACAGTTTTACTAAAACCAGACATCACGATTTACACAACCCCCCTTGCAGTGGGGGATTGTGTAAAGCCATTTTACTTACCTGATTCCGCTCCCCCAGAAGTTGGCGCTTATCTCACCCCCTTCTGCTGCGATTTGTGGATTGTCCCTTGTCATCTTAGCATATAATGCCAGGCACCGGTCTTGCAGGTAGTGGGAGTGGGGATCGGGTAAGTAAAATTACTTTACACCGGTCCCCTAGATCAAAACTAGCAGTGTATCCTTGCAGTTAAAGGGCAGCCCCACTGCAAGGGGCAGATTTTGTTTCCCTGGAGATAAGCTTTAATTACGATGTGACAACTGAAATACAACCAACCTTGACTAACTTTTTATGGTGACACCTTCCAACATGACGATGCACATAAGTTACACTAAATAACAAAGAAATCTTAGCCCTAAGGAACTCCAGGGAATAACATTCTTAATCCATGACACTGCAAGGGTAAAGTTATACTCACCCAAACCTTAGGTCCGGCTGGCTGTGACACTGCTCCCTCCGGCCTGTCTACTCCTTCAGTGATGACTTGAGGGTTCTTAGACTGCTGCAGTGGAGGTGGAGCGAGGCAGAAGGGATTAGTCTAAGAGCGGCTGGCTCTGAGGATCAGGTGAGTATAACTTTTTTTTTTTTTACCCCAGACACAAATGAGCACTTACCCCTTGCAGTGCCGGGAGCAGCCCCACTACAAGGGTTAAGAGTTTTTACCCGCTGAGTTCTGCTTTAAATCCTAATTTCCTGACGCCTACATGGCAGCATACAATGGGCTGCGGGCGGAGCCATACCCATTGTATGCTGCCATGTATTGGCGTCAGGAAAGGAAAATTACTGATAGGTAAGTATACAATTTTCCTGACGCCTACAAGGCAGCATATAATGGGTATGGCTCCGCCCCCAACCCATTGTATGCTGCCATGTATTGGCGCCAGGAAAGGAAAATTACCGATAGGTAAGTATACAATTTTCCATTTTGCACACACGGGCATTTGCCCTCTTATGCTACAAACATACCATTGGGTGAGGAAATAATGAGGGCCATTAAGACGGGTATGTGCCCAGATTGAATCTCAAACTTACATAACACAGGTAATATCACGCTGTGTGTACTTTGTCTTCTTTCCCTACTGTGAGCTGCAACAAAGGACAACATCTTCAGAGGGACAGAGGAGAGGTCACATTCCCTTCCTATGCAGTGCATTCGAAGAATGAAATCCTCGTTTATGAATGTGTGTTGTGTCGTTTCCTCCTTCAAGCTTCTTTTTATGTCAGCAATGGAAAAACAAGATGCGTTTGTTCTAGGGGCCGTGCTTCCTGATTTCAGAGTGAGAGAGGTGGATTGGAATCAGAACTTCTGATAAAAAGAACATTACATTCCTTTATAAAAGTCAGAGGCTTAACCCCTGGGTGTTTTTCAGCGCTTCGATCATCGCTGAAAAACACCCAGGTGTGAACCCAGCCTAAAGGAAAGTAAATACAGTAGACGCCCCGTTATCCGGCATCCACAGGGATTGGTAGATTCCAGATAAATGTAGTTTCTCGTTGCTTGAGAGTTACTATTAAAATAGGTTTAACTAATGCCATACCCCATACTACACCATAAACTCTGTATTGACTTCATATTAATATTGAAATAAAGTAATCAAAAGCAAATTAAGACAAATAGACACACTTAGTATTAGTGCTGTAATCACTAGTAATCACTAGGTGGCGCTTGTTCACAGACACTCGTTCCCAGGATAATACAGCACTTTCCACAGACGATCGTCAGACACTCGTTCCCAGGATAATACAGCACTTTCCACAGACGATCGTCAGACACTCGTTCCCAGGATAATACAGCACTTTCCACAGACGATCGTCAGACACTCGTTCCCAGGATAATACAGCACTTTCCACAGACGATCGTCAGACACTCGTTCCCAGGATAATACAGCACTTTCCACAGACGATCGTCAGACACTCGTTCCCAGGATAATACAGCACTTTCCACAGACGATCGTCAGACACTCGTTCCCAGGATAATACAGCACTTTCCACAGACGATCGTCAGACACTCGTTCCCAGGATAATACAGCACTTTCCACAGACGATCGTCAGACACTCGTTCCCAGGATAATACAGCACTTTCCACAGACGATCGTCAGACACTCGTTCCCAGGATAATACAGCACTTTCCACAGACGATCGTCAGACACTCGTTCCCAGGATAATACAGCACTTTCCACAGACGATCGTCAGACACTCGTTCCCAGGATAATACAGCACTTTCCACAGACGATCGTCAGACACTCGTTCCCAGGATAATACAGCACTTTCCACAGACGATCGTCAGACACTCGTTCCCAGGATAATACAGCACTTTCCACAGACGATCGTCAGACACTCGTTCCCAGGATAATACAGCACTTTCCACAGACGATCGTCAGACACTCGTTCCCAGGATAATACAGCACTTTCCACAGACGATCGTCAGACACTCGTTCCCAGGATAATACAGCACTTTCCACAGACGATCGTCAGACACTCGTTCCCAGGATAATACAGCACTTTCCACAGACGATCGTCAGACACTCGTTCCCAGGATAATACAGCACTTTCCACAGACGATCGTCAGACACTCGTTCCCAGGATAATACAGCACTTTCCACAGACGATCGTCAGACACTCGTTCCCAGGATAATACAGCACTTTCCACAGACGATCGTCAGACACTCGTTCCCAGGATAATACAGCACTTTCCACAGACGATCGTCAGACACTCGTTCCCAGGATAATACAGCACTTTCCACAGACGATCGTCAGACACTCGTTCCCAGGATAATACAGCACTTTCCACAGACGATCGTCAGACACTCGTTCCCAGGATAATACAGCACTTTCCACAGACGATCGTCAGACACTCGTTCCCAGGATAATACAGCACTTTCCACAGACGATCGTCAGACACTCGTTCCCAGGATAATACAGCACTTTCCACAGACGATCGTCAGACACTCGTTCCCAGGATAATACAGCACTTTCCACAGACGATCGTCAGACACTCGTTCCCAGGATAATACAGCACTTTTCTGACGATCAACAGACACTCGTTCCCAGGATAAGGTGTGGTAAAGGGTGTACAGGGTGTGGTAAAGCTATGTACAGCACCCTGCTGGCCCCTCCTAGCAGGGTGCTGTACATAGCTGCCTGTATTGCATAGAAAAGCACAGAGACCCAATTATGACATCACTGGGTCTAAAATAAGGTATGTAATGAAAATAAAAAGATGTATTCAAAAAAAAAAAGTAATTAGCATGTTGATGAGAAGCAAATGAGGAACCATGGAAGCCAAAACATAAGCCGATTATACTTCAGCTTTAAGCTGTTTCATTTCATGCACAGAAATGCAGATGCTGCTTGTTAGTACAGCATTTTCCCATATAGCTTC